GGAGGTACGTTTTCGTTCGTCGAAAGGGGACCAGTTTCGGAAGGGGGCGGTTTGCACGCGCACACGGCAAGGTCCGTGCTGTGGGGTTGACCGAGGGGGTGGTGCAGTGGATGTCATGGTGGAGCTGCTTTCTCTGTATACCTTTTTGCCTTCGCATGCGCCTCTCGTGGCTTTCGGTGTTGGTCAGGGCCAGTAAGCCATGTGGACTAAGTGTCAAGCTACTGTGGCTCTTCGCCAAGTGGTTGCGTTGGCGGGTTTGCAGCCCGAGGAGTACGCGCTGCACTCCCTGAGAATTGGGGGNACCCGATGGGGTGACGTGTGAAGGGGTTCCGTGGCACGTTGTGTATGTCGAGATCCTTGTTGTACCGATGGTATTTTGCGGTACATGTTGTATACCCGTCCTTACTCTATATATATACCGGACCAGAGTGGTATTTATTTCGACAACCCCGCGGCCACTCTTTCTGTCCCGTTGTTCTGTACGGCATTCCTGCCGTGAATGCGTGAACCGTTTGCTCTTCCCCGCACATCCAGGGTACGTGCACTCTTCGCCCCCCGTGTGATTGCTACCGTCAGATGAAGTGTCAGCGTCAAACACAACCTTCTTCTGGTNGGTACATGTTGTATACCCGTCCTTACTCTATATATATACCGGACCAGAGTGGTATTTATTTCGACAACCCCGCGGCCACTCTTTCTGTCCCGTTGTTCTGTACGGCATTCCTGCCGTGAATGCGTGAACCGTTTGCTCTTCCCCGCACATCCAGGGTACGTGCACTCTTCGCCCCCCGTGTGATTGCTACCGTCAGATGAAGTGTCAGCGTCAAACACAACCTTCTTCTGGTTGCGATTGTTAGGGTTTCGCTCAGCGTAAGACGACCCCCGCTTGTTGTGGGTGGAAGCCCCCCGGCTGTGACTACCGCCGCGTGATGCGCTGGAGACATGGCTGTCCTCGTTGGTGCGTATTTGTTGTTCAAGCTGGGTGACCCTATTCTCGAGTACACCCGCTTGAATTTTCAGCTGCGGTGGTAGTGTGGTGTCGAGAAGGGAAGGCACCGAGGCGGTTGATTGAGAGACACCTCAAGAGAAACTTAAACTTCCGCAGAGAACCCAGCCAGCCTGCTGCTGGCAGATGAGTTTTAGTTCCCGACTTTCCTTGTGGAATTGACGATCGGCGCACTACGTAAGCACCTCTCTGGAAGCTGGTTCTCTTGGAAAACGCCGTGATATCCTTTGGGGCGCTGGTACATGAGATAGGGAACAGAGACCACCTCGTCTCCTCTGTAGGGGGCAGACGGCCCAATTTTTTTTTTGTCAACCTACCGAAATCGGCGAAATGCGATGTATTTTTATGGCGGGAGGCGGGAAGCGGGACAATACTTTTCGGGGTTGGGGTGGTGGGCCCTATAGTTATTCTTTCTTGGACTTCTGGCCTCTGCTCGGGAGTCACTACGTGTAAATATGTAGATACCCAGATTGAGTAGAAGACATACAGGCATCCAGCAATCGTTTAGTCCGGCAAGGGGGGCCTACTACTTCCTTCCGTCCTCGTAATGCCTGAAGGGTGTCCCCCTGTAGATCGCTGGCGTGGAAAAATCCAGGAAAAATCCCCGTCATAAAAAAATGTATCCACATCCAATAGGTCGCGCGTTTGTTGGAAAGTGAACGCAAGAGGAGACGGACGAAGTGCGCGGAGCCGACGCTCCAACGTACCTACAGAGTGTCAGCTACAGCAGAGGCATCAGACAGCTACAGCAGAAGCAACAGAAAGCACCCCAACACCACAGAGATTGAACTGCTGTGCCAGGGCAGTGTTTTCTGGTATGAACACGCAATAGAGGTCGGGGAAAAAAAAATCGTTGCAAAAATCGCCCCATTAACAAAGCGCCCCAACTATTGCACAACAACCTTGCTGTCTTCGCGCTATTAAATGGAACGAATCACAGCCTACAGTAGAAGACGAAAGCCAACCATTGGCATATGTAGTAGTCAATGCTGACTAGTCTTATGGTTTGACTAAAAAACTCGAAAGGGAACACACCAATCCTACCAACTCTCCGAACAATAAACACTCATGGCATCAACATCGTCATCAAATATACACGCCCATGCATCTCAATCCGATTTGTCTGCCCCGCCCAAAGCAGCAGCATCACCGCTCCCCGCCCCGCGCCCGTCGTCGGGACCTGGCGGCCGTCGAGCGGCCCACAACGCTCCAAGCTCCCTCAAAAACGCCCCCTCACACTTGACGAAAACCGTGGCCGTAAACAAAAAGCACACCAACCCAACGCCGACGTGCTTGGCCGCGTCCAACGGTGCGCCACTGTTACCGCCGGCGACATGACGAGCGGCAGGTGACGTGGCGTATGCCGCAGCAGAGGACAAGGCCATGACGGCAACCACGCCGGGGTGCGGGGCAGCGCCGGTCACAACCTCTCTCCACAGATTCCTTTTCGTGGCCGTTTTCTGTCGTCGTTCGCCGCCGTTCGGGGGCGCACGGGGAGGTATCGAGGGGGGCAGGTGACGGCTGCCGCTTGGGCTGAGCCTGCTACTTTCGCCGCTTGCCGCGCGGTCGCCAACAGCCGCTGCCTTCAGCGAAGGTGTCGCCGGAGGCGTGCGTTGCAAAAAGAAACGACGGATGAAAACCCCGCTGCATATCACTCGGCAAGCCATCCCCGCGGCGTTCGCCATCACCAGGCCTCGCGTTCCGAACCTTAGGCCGCGCGGGGGAGGAAATAAGTCAAGGTCAAGCAAGCCTCTTTAGGCCGGTAAGGGGATGAACGCTGACTGCAATTGAACGCCGAAACACGTTTGAAACCTCTCAGTCTTTACAACCTAGTTGTGTCTAATGGCAGGAATCGGAACACCAAAATAAAACTCCAGGATACTCCTATCGTGCTCATCCTATCCTGGCCTTGCCAAGGATAACCATACCCCAGTTAGCACTTCTAGCAAAACCTTGCGGGTCTTAGGGGTCCACGCTCATCGCCAAATCATATGCGAAGACAACCAGAAAAAAACACGGCCTTTCATTTTTCACCCAGTGGGTGAAGTGAACAGCCCGAGACATTCTCAACGGCAGCGTGTTGCACACTATGGTCGGGCGCAATATATTACCCACTACAATAAGACTCTTCAGCACAGCAGCTAAGAAGGCCGCAACACAACACACCGTTGACCTGACCAAGCCATACCTGCCCGTGAGGGGTCCCACAAGCACCCAGAACGTGGCGAACGACGCGACAAGGCCGGCACCCATCCCGGTAAGCTGGCCTCCTCGCGCGACAGCGCAAGCAAACGCCTCGCACATACCGTTGGCAGCGAGGAACAACACGTACACGCAGTACCACGACAGAACTCGCGCTACCTCTGAAACGGCACTAGACCCGCCGCCGCCGCCCTTGCCCGCCAGAAGCAAGCGTAGCAGAGTCTCGGTGTAGTGGAAGCCGAAGCAGACGAACACGAGGCCCGCCATCAGCACGAGCTTGAGCAAGGTTGCCAGAAGGGAAGCCATCTTCGCTCGCAACCTTGCTTTTCCATCCGCCGCACCATCGGTACTGTCTCCTTCATGACCACAGCCGCCACTGCCATCCTCGCGTCCGTGCCCCCCCGCCCTCCCCAACAATGAATGCATCGCCCCCGCTGTCAACACCTTGCTCGTTACAGTCACAGCAGGTGGCACCGCACCCTGGCGGCTTTCCCCTGCCTCTGCCCCGAGCTTGCTGAACATCAGACGCGCCGCCTCCTCCAGAGGCTGAAACAACAGCCTCGCGGCCAGCGATCCGTACCCGCTGGCGATCGCGTACACCCCTTGCTCGTAGAGAGCCCCCCTCTGCGTGCAACCGCCGCCGCCGCCACAATGGCGGTGGCACCCTTGCTCCGGGGAGGTCGCCCTAGCGAGCACGATCTTGTCCCCCTCGGTCAGCACGTGCTTCAGCAGCGACTGTCCGGCCAGCGCCCCCGCCAGCCTGAGCTTCCCACTGTCTACTAGACCCGATTCGTCGCTGTCGTCGTCTCGGATTGGTCGACTCGGCAGCCACCCCCGCACTCGCGAGAATCCGTCGTCATCGCCGCAGACTTGTGCGAGTGGCCGCGCCGCGCCGGGTGGTTGCCCCGTCGCGGCTACGAGCGTCGACGGCGGCGGTGGCGGCAGGGTCGTTTCTTCTCCTGCTTTAGCTCGCGCCACGTCCTTCACCGCGAAAAGGACGTACCACGCTAAGAGGGTCCCCGAGTGCAACAGCTGCGCGTAGCCGAAAGAGAGGACCCCCTTGCCAGCACGCGTCACCAGAAGATACCTAGAAACCCCGAGCACCAGAACGGCGGCCGCCTCTGCCCTGACTGCAGCGGATATGTCACCGTACGTGTTGTCGAAGGGAGGAAGGGAGGGAGGGAGGGAGGGAGGGAGGGAGGGAGGGGGG